TAAAGAGACCGACGCCGCCAGTAACTAGTACTAGTACTACTACTACTACTACTACTACTAGTAGTACTACTACTACTACTACTACTACTACTACAACGCCGTATACTGTACTCTTTGCCCACACATACAACTGGCGTGGAGGAGGAGCTCCTGCTTAGTTCTCCAGGTGTATGTTTCCTCCGGCTCGCCCGGGCAAGAAGTTTGTTATGTATATAGCATACTTTCACTTGTTCCGGGGTGGAGGGGTCACATGCATACACGCATGCATACGTAACGTACATAATTGCAAGATTTGTTCAGGCCAGTGCTGCTATAAGCCAATGCTGACTTGGAAGCCCAGCCTGCGGGGGGCAGCTCCGACAAGTCTGTCTTCTCCAAGTCCTCTAGACTCTGCGCGCTCTTGGACTTGGTCGTTGCCTGTCGCCGGCCATGGCCCAAGACTGCTCGTGCGGCGGAAGTCCACGTCGGCCGAATTTCAACAGGGCTGCCAAAGCTGGAGGTGCTAGCGCCCATCTGAGCTTTAGTGGACGTATGGCTGAGGTCCTCGGAAGGCGAGAAATTGCGCTGCCTGTTAAGCTGACCAACCCCCGCACCCACAAATTCCAACATGCTGGGTTTGTAGCGAGGATCTTAAATCTTCAATGCTGACGAGACTCCGGCATCGACTGCGATTTCTGCACCTGCGGCCATGAGTGGATAGCCGCGTCTTGAGTAAACTGAATCATCTCCACTTTGCTCCTGCTCACCGCAGATGGAACCGACTTCGGCACTGATCTCGGTCGATCGCACTCCGGTGGGGCGCGGGGCGTACTCATCGGGCGCTGCTCCGCGTAACCTCCCCCCAGGTGTTCACCACGACGCTTAATGCGACCGATCCTCTTCAATGCACGAGTTTTCGCCGTGCTGCCGACCTTGTAGGGCACGTGAGCACCTGCTGAAGCAGAGTGCATCATAGCGGTCCTCACAGATGGAGGACCATTGGCAGACTCTTGGAGTGCCTGCAAAGCATCCCTTAAGGGAAACTTCAGTGCCGGCAAAGGCGAATCCAGGGATTCCATACTTCCAGTTTGCCTCCACACTCAGCTCGCCGTCACCACTGCCATGATGGGCCATCAAACCCCACTTGAAGCAGAGAAGCTGCTTTGAAAGCCGAAGCAGCATCAGGAAACGTACAAATTTCCCAAGACAACAATGCTGGCCTAGCTCATAGCAGTCGTCTCGCAAGCCGACGAGCTCCATTGATGTTCAAGTCATGAAAGTGCGCGTGCTGGTTCCTTCTGGTTTCTTAGCAGATAGTGCAGTGCGCATGCGGCGCAACAAATATTGACGCTGTTCCTGACCTATCCCTGCACAATCTTCAAGCCCTTCTTCAGCAGAGCAGCTGCTAGCTCAATGTCTCGTTGCCATGTCGACTTTGGGTTTCGAGGCTGTTTCGCCTGTCTGCCTAATCGCTGCGTTGCACAACGGCATGAGACGTCACCCCGTGAGGTTTTGACCGGGACCTCCTCAGCCTGAGCCTACACCCGAAGACCCAAACACAGCGGTGAACCATAGTTCCGACACTGTCACGCCTGATTGTCGTCAGATAGGATCACGTCCTGAGGCCAGGTTGTACACATGCAGGGAAGGATTAGCTGTCGCCGGTTTGGGACCAGGCTGCTACTGATGCTAGAGGCCTACGTACATCCTCATCTGGTGTCCTGCAGTGTTTATAAAACTTCAGTCTAGTCCAGAACTTAGCTCTTGTGCCAAGCAGCCATGATAATGAGCGCGGGCTTCATGTCTCCGGTATGCAGCAGACTCATGCATTCGTGGCCTCAACTGCACAAGACTCAACACGCTACTGTATGTGCTGCCATGCTTGAGTGATGAGATGCTTTTGCCGTCCAATCGGGTGGAGAGTGGGTCTGGGTCGACCCGGGGAACCAATTGTTCGATTACCTGCATTTCCGGCACTTCATGACTTCTGCCGCCGCAGAGCTTGACTTAGTTGCTAGGCCCGTTTTGCCCGGATTGCTCTTGTCTGGTGGCGCCTTCAATGGTCGCGCCCTCTACGCCGAAGCAAAACCGTGGAGCACCGTTTGCGTTTTTGCTAGGACATCAAGCGTAGCAACCATGCGCAAATCGCTGAGGACCGAAATCGCAAACCAGGCGCGGCTGCCCAACCGCGCCAGAGTTTAAAGCTGGTATGTGTGCCATGTATTCCACAAAAGTTAACTGTGCCGTACTGATAGGACGACAAGTCGTTCCTGTGAGGACAGTGAGGCGGAGAGATTGTTACAGAGACAGAGAGCAAGAGACAGAGAGAGCGAGAGAGAGAGAGTCTAGGTCAGGAAATATGTGACCTTCTGTACGTGCATGCCACGTGTGTGTGTGTGCGCATACATATATTATATTATATTATATTATACTATATTTGTATATACAATAGAGAGAGAGAGAGAGAGAGACAGAGAGACAGAGAGCGAGAGAGAGACACATGTCATTTTTAGATATATATATATATGCACACACACACACACACACCCCGACATACACGCACACATCACGCATGCACATACACACTTGCACACATACAGTACAGTACTGGCATATGCGGCATACACAGACACACATGCACAAACATACATACACAATCACATACGTGCATACACACACATACGCACATACATGCACACGCACAAACACAAACACCCACCCACCCA